CTGTAAATATTTAATATAAATTGTTATTTTCAGTGCTGTACATAAAAAAATATTGATAAGTATGTTTCAATATTGCCTATACTGTTCACATTTTGATCAGGCTACAGATTACTTAAGTTATCAGGCGTTGAACTTTTTAAATATTAAAAAATAACAAAATTAAAATTTCTCATTATTCTGTCCTTAGGTAATATATTATGTACTTTATTCGAAGGCGAGAGTAGGCGTGGTTAGTGTGATCCTACTTGTAGAGAAATATAGAGTTACATTTACACATTATATAAATATGTGTATATAATACTTACAAAATGTAACTTTACTAGCCTGCTATTTGTTTGACCTTTTAATACTTGCAAAAGTTGTACTTCTACAAATATGTACGAAATCATTCTTTGCTGTAGTGAAAAAATGTGTTGTACCTTTTCAAGTGCAAAATAACTGTGTATACAATACCAATTTGTATTGTATCTAAAGAAAATATGCACTTTTTCATAATCAGATAGTACAGCGATAAGCTTACAGACCCACAGCGCTAAAATCCAAGAGCTAGGTTCTCCTGGTGGACAGAGAGAGCATGGTTAGACCACAGTGTAGTTTGTAGAATTACGCTAAAATATGTTCAAATGATCTAGAAACACTGTAGAAATTACTTAAGTCATAGAAAACATGTGTGAAATGACATATTTTGCCAAGAACAATAAAAATCATAGTTATGTGGATAGCATGAAGACAAAGTAGTGGAAGTGCAAACTTTTATGGTAAATTATTTCATGATATTTAAATAAGCGTCCTTTTCAGGACAATAATTGTAAAAAGTATGTTTAATTATAAAAACTACAACAATAATCAGTATGTTAAAACAAAATAGTCTTGTGTCATAAGATTTCATAAAGATTTTGTTACCTTTTCAATTAGAACATATGCCATTGTCCACATAACAGTTATTAATCTAAACATGGTTGTTACTTCAGTAGATAAGCTTATGGAATCAATATGTGCTGGAAGAGTTAATATATTCAGTGAAGAATGATCTAGGTTTTGTTATCAAATTTAATTTTAAATTTTTGTGTAACACTCATGAATAATATAATCCCAGATTGTTTTAGGAGCAGAGATTTGTGCTGATTGGAATTATATATTCAAATACGTACAACTTCCAAATAAGCTGTACAAATAAAATTCAGTGAGGGTTCAGGGGAGGTTTGTTTGTTTGTAATTAAGCACAAAGCTACAGAATGGGCTATTGTGCTCTGCCCATGTACAAGGGTTTCGAAAATTGGTTTCTAGTGTTGTAAGTCCACAGACATTTTGCTGTGCCACTAGGGGTCATGGAGTAGGGAGACTTTTTTGTTTTTCTTTTGGGCATTCGCACAAACCTTAGTTTTTAACTGACAAACTACAGGGAAGGAAACTAGTAGACTTCCTTTTTTTTGAAGAAAAAAGTAATATTATTAAAATTAATTTGAAATATTTAATATAGAATATTATTGAGTTTCCTTCTCTTCAACATATATCTATGCATATTTACCATAATCCAATAAAAATCCTTCGCGTGGCACGTTTTGTGTAATAATTTTATACTTCAATTCCGTTGGTCGATGCGAACAAATGACAAAAAAAAAAAAGACTTCATTTGCGCGTTTTTATCGGAAAATATGAGTGTTCCTCCAGCAAGGTTAGTCAACTTGTTGTGCAGTCTTTATCAAAAATAAGAGTGGTATGAGCTCCCATAGGCTGTGGGTCGAATAAAAATAGCTGATGCTGTTGTTGTCATTGGAGTGGAAAAAAACAACACAACTGTATTTACAGTTTATTTTGAATATAACCTGCACCTCTGTAACCCATACCGTGCGGCCATATTTGAAGCGTCCAGTGGCTCAGCTGTAAGTCTGAGGGTTTATAACGCTAAAATTTGGGTTTCGATACATGCCGTGGGTAGAACTGATATCTCAATGTGTAGTTTAACGACAACTAAACAAAAGCATTTTTGAAGCATCATAAGGAGCAATGCTTGGACCCCACTTACGTGTTTCGGTTTATTACGTCAAACAACCGGCCCCGGCATGGCCAGGTGGTTAGGGCGCTCGACTCGTAATCTGAGGGTCGCGGGTTCGAATCCCTGTCACACCAAACATGCCAACCTCCGCCTTTGCCTGGTCCCAAGTCCAGGATGAGAAAAAAGGAGGGTTGGGCGCGGGGCTAGCAACTCTACCCCGTAAAAACCAGCCTGCTACAAGTAACTGCAACAACACCTTCCGTTGGCGAGGTGTTGTTGCGGCCCTATGCTCCACTGGGAGTTTACAGGAATAAAATGAAAAAAAAACGTCAAACAACCAATTTATATTTATGTTGTTTGATATACTGAAAACATGTAAACTTTAGCTTTCCTTTATATGCAATAATTTTTAATACAATTTGCCGTTATGTTTGAAAACAACAACTAATTCATATGTGTAATAACGTAACAATTAGAAAACCGCACATTTAGCAATTGTGTCTGATAACCTGTGTACTTTTAACCATAACTTTCTTCAATATCAAACGGAAATATACACTGTATGTTAACTATAGATATTTATTGAATTATTACGATAACTGGTTCAATAATTGAACAATATAACTTATTAAGCAATGACACACGTGAAACATCATATCATATATATATTCACTAACTGACGTACCCATACAACGCACGGAGAAAACGTTGGAGCTCCCGGGGCTGACATAGAGGGGTCAAATTGCAACATGCATCTATCAAGATCAAGTAGTCGTATGAACATGCCTTCAAACATGGTGCCCTCAGGATCCCAAGAGTAGACTAGGAAAACAAAATCCGACGTCAGATTCGGGTTAAGCGATCCTGCCTAGGTGACCTTCTGGGAGCGTTTTCAACCTTCTTGGTAAAGGAATTACGCCATATAGATCAAGACACCCCCTAGGCCACCCCCTGTCCTCCTGCCAAGTCTGGTAATGCAAGCTCCAAAATTATGTGAGGAATTCGCGAGCAACAAACAAATTCGCAAATGCACACTAACGCGAATTAATGTAGGATAAGTCCGACCTTACTATGAAATACGTGATTCTGTTTTTGAATTTATTAACTAACTAAATCACACGGTTGTCTTATAAAGATATAAAGAAAACTTGTACTTTTTAGATCTTGAAACATTATCTTTATTAACGCATTTCGGCTAATTGGTTTGAATAGGTTGATAAGACCTAGGAAACGTTTATCAGATAACCCAATAGATGTTATGAAAAATAATTTTCCATGAACAATGCGAATCCTGATCGGGCATTTAGCTACTATTATCTACTATTATTATTACGTTGGGAAAAAGCATTTATGAAAAAAGTGTAACTTTTTTTTTCCTATCCAGAGCGATAAAAGATGGTTCATTTTTAGCAACTAAAGTTTGTCCAGTTCTGTTTTATTAATGTGAGCAGACTTACAAGTGATCAATGTACTTCTCATTAGCTATTTTTTCTGTCACTATCCAGTTATTACGTGTAAAGATGTCTTCGTAGCTTGTTGCCTTTTAATATTGTTAGATAGGGTACCTAAAGGTAAGAGTTGATACTGACAAGTTGGAAAATATTGTTTAAAATAAAAATATAGGCGCCTTTATGAAAAATATATTTTTAGATCTTAGTTCCCTTTCATGAACATTTTGTTAGCTACTTAACGTTATACTAAATCAAGGATTCGATGACTTTTTAAAAATCCTTACGATCATTTTAATGGTAATATCTAAAGCGCTTAAATTGCGAAATCAAATTTGTTCACATTTCAATAATGATGTCATCAACCTATTTGTATTGTATTTTTTACGAAAACATTAGGGCCCGGCATGGCCAGGTGGTTAGGGCGCTCGACACGAAATCTGAGGGTCGCGGGTTCGAATTACCGTCCCACCAAACATGCTCGCCCTTTCAACCGTGTGGGCGTTATAATGTGACGGTCAATTCCACTATTCGTTGGTAAAAGAGCCCAAGAGGTGATGACTTCCCTCTAGTCTTACACTGCTAAATTAAGGACGGCTAGCGCAGATAGCCCTCGTGTAGCTTTGCGCGAAATTCAAAAACAAACAACGTAAACATTAAGAAGTTCATATAGGGAAATAATTTAACTTTTTGTTTCTGAAAAGAATACTGAATTCAACGGAGAGGTAAGATTGTTGTTAACTTGCGTAAGTGGAGTTATTGTATTGGAAACGTATTTATTCATTCTATATATTTTTACAATAAAACGATTATTAATGTAACGGTAGCTTACCCTTCCAGGGTTTGAACAAAGTAACTATAAATATAATTTTGAATAAAAATTCTAGTTTAGCTATATATATTTCTAAAGTGTATATTGATAGCATAAGAGTTGATTTTTGATGTCTAACTAATAAATATTAACCAAAAATACGTATCTACAGAAACATTAGTTTTCAAAAAGAATAATTTTAAGAGCATTTCGAAATCTATTTAAAACGATCAACATTTTTTAATAGAACAGCCACTCAACGTTGTTTTAAATATATTTTACTTCTTTGTGTTTCATATTGTAATTAATTTTAATTTTTTTAATCAACTGAAAATTTCTTTAAAGATTGCGCACGGGTAAATGAAGTAGCGTTAAGTAAGGCTTGTTTTAAATACATAACAAGTTAGATTTTTTATTAGATAATTTTGTATTTTTACTCACTTATGCAACTGTATGTTTAAAACACCTGAAATGTTTCTTGAAAATATCAGTACTAATTCTAAGTCACTCTATTAAAATAACCCTCTTTTTTAAGATTATATATATATATACATGTATATTGAATAATTAGAAGTACCATACTTTATTATAATAGACTATGGAAGCTCCTATATGTGTAGATTAATGTTTTTGTGGACAAAATACTTAGTGACATTAATGACTAAGAAAAGGTCAGTGTGGATGGGTGTGGCATGTTTGTCGATATATGTATTATTGTGTACAATAATAGCACTTTAGCGTAAACCTGTTTAGTAACTGAATGTTGCACAGAAACTCAAAGATGGAAACTAATACTATTTCGCATGTATAATTATCATCAGCTATATAGAGTGTAATGTTTCCATATATTCCCTATAAAACAATATATCTCAAGCTTTTGATTTAAAAATCAAACTCTTATTGACTAGTGGATGATTGTGAAACTATCTATCGTCAAACAGGGTTCCTGAGCATCAAGTTTTATCCCACACAAATATGCATGTTAATAAAGATGAACTTCAACAAGATTACATTCGCTTTATTTTTCTGCAGTTTGTGCAAATTACATATGATATAGACATTCAGAACAGAGTTTTACTATTTGGTAATAGTATGTTATTTTCTAAAAATTTAAGATGTTATCGCACACTGTTGTAAGACACTGAACATTACGTTCATATTTTTTAAAGAATTGGTTGGTTGGTTGGTTGTTTTGTTTTCACGTAAAGCTACACGAGGGTTATCTGCGCTAGCCGTCCCTAATTTAGCAGTGTAAGACTAGAGGGAAGGGAGCTAGTCATCACCACCCACTGTCAACTCTTGGGCTACTCTTTTACCAACGAATAGTGGGATTGACCGTCACAGTATAACGCTTCCACGGCTGAAAGGGCGACTCACAGATTGCGAGTCGAACATCCTAACCACCTGGCTATGCTGTGCCCCATATCTTACTGACAAGCTAGCGCTTTGCAAATGTATTATTAATATATGTATTTGAACTTTTCCGATAATGGAATAAACGAAAACTGGAATAGTTCTATTTTAGTTTTGTATGTATTTTATTTAATTTGCAAATATTTCTCACCAATAATTTAATCCAATATAAATGTTGTGTGCTTTGTTGCTTCGTGGCATTGAGAAAATAATCTTAGAATTTGTAAGTACTTGTACAGTAAAAACGTATCTTTGATATTCGCCAATAAAGAGAGAATTTGAAATACATTTCTACTACTTTTTCAGTAATAAACAAACTATTGCCTATGTAAATTATGAATATATTATAAAAGTCTGAAAGTTTTAAGGTGATTATCACTCACTGAAACTCAAAACCAAAGGAAAATCATAGCAACAAAAATGTATCTTTGGGGTTATAACTGGAAAGAAGCAAATTTTAGTTATTTTTTGTTTATTTGTTATAAAGCTCAAAATTACACAATGGACTATCTCTGCTGTGCCAATCGCGAGTATGAAAACCCAACGTTTAGCATCATGTGTTCAATATTCTCTTATTAAAAACTACATTCTACAATATGTAAATTAATTGAGTTACAGTAATAAAGCAATTCACAACAGTCACATGTTAAATTTTCGGCGGAGTTTGTAAGTTAGGTTTTGTTATCCTACGACGAGAGAATTTATTTACATTTTTGCGATGTTTGTGCAACAATTCCAAGCTTGAGACACATGGTATAATTAAAAAAAAAAGAAACAGTTCGTTTCAACATAATTTTAATCATTTCGATATGCATTTCATCCTTTTGGCATTGTAGAAATTTCATATTTTCGCTATCGAATAGATCACCAAGGGGATTTTCCTTAATATCCTCAGATATTTTGATCGCTGTAGAGGACTCAACTGAAGTGCATCATTTTATAAAGTTTCGTTCACACCATGACAAAAGAAATTAGGACGATAATGAAAAAAAAGAGTATAGTCATCATACATAGATATTCATTTTTGCATGACAATTTGAGCGAAGTTTATCTATTCTGATATTTTCCGCAATATTGCTGAAACAAGAGCTAGTATAGTATACTGCGAATATATTTTTTTATATAAATTCAGTTTGTATTTTTCTTTAAAATTTACAATTTTGATATTGTACAATAAGTTAATATTGTTTAAGCTTTTATTGCTTGTTTGTTATGAATTTAGCGCAAAGCTACACGAGGACTATCTGCGCTAGCCGTCCCTAATTTAGCAGTGTAAGATCAGAGAAAAGGCAGCTAGTCATTATCACCCACCGCTAACTCTTGGGCTACTCTTTTACCAACGAATAGTGGGATTGACCGTCACATTATAACACCCCCACGGCTGAAAGGGCGAGTTTTTATTGTAAAAAAAAAGGAATCTCAAGGTAAGTTTGAATATGATCGACTATGATAAACACCTTGTTTGAATTCTTAGGTATTGCAGATTATCATAATCAAGGAAAATAAATTGGTGCTCAAATGTTAAATTAAGGAGATTGTTTTATATCATGTTTGCAGAATGTTATGTATAATATTTCTTGTAAGTATTTTACCCAACTGACAAAATAATAGTTTTTTTCCAATAAATTTGAACATAATAGCTTGAAAAACATGTCAATCTTCAACAAACAGTCCCAAGTCTTATGTTGCTATCGTAATGGTTGTAAAAGTATTCTTGATAAAAGAAATGTTCTCTATACTAACGAAATACTTCTAAAAAATAGTTCCTTTCAGAACATTCTATTTAAATAAGAAGTGGTATGATATTATTCTGAGTTAATGAATATGTGCCTAACGAGAGATATTTGATTTGTTTGAAACACTCACATTAATGTAAGAGGCTGCAGGAAGATCATGTCGAATTCCAGAAAACTGGGTGAAAAGCGACAAAAGACTGGTTATACAGAGGGTTACTCGACCAGGGATAGCGTCCAGGCCCATCCAGAAAGAAAACCATGATAACATGACAATCAACGCGCTGGGAGCAAACACCTGCATCACGTGATATGATATCCGTCTCTCAAAGGTGAAATTAACCACAATCGTTGAATAAGTCACTAGGTAGAGCAAAGATGAAGATGAACAAATACGTTATTCTTTTTCAAAATAACATAGTATAAGAGAAGATTCTGATTAAATAAAACTTAATGGATACAATTATACGTATTCGGAACCACAGCTACATACTCAACAACAACTATTATTTAATTTCAAATAAAATATAGTAACTCCGATATTTTATCATGCAGTAAATTTTACGTTATTATATTTCACCTTTCCCTTTATTATAAATATATTTTCATTATGCCTAAGATAACAAGTTTCGGTCTTAGAAAACGTTCCTTTGGGATTTTATATATAAACTGTATAGGTTTTATAATTCGCTTTCGTTTTCTAATTGAAACGTGAACTTTAAACAGGGATTATTCTAAAGAGTTTGCTTAAATTAGTCAAAAGGTTCCATTTTAGATCTTTAATGTTTGATGTTGCAATAGCGTGTATTATAGTTTAGGCTATGTTTGTTTCTTTCGACGTTTATAACAGTTTGACATGAAACATTTAATTCTATTAAAATATAATAAATATTTGAAGAATCGTATAGCACTAGTAATTAGAACACTACTTAAATAAGTGCAAAAAAAAAATATGTCTTAGAACTTCAAAACTAAAACAAAGGAGTATTCTTGTAAGCATTAAAGACAAAAGTTGGGGAAACAATTATGATTAAATGAAGATATATATATTAAAATACATTAAGACCATTTTTTCGTCGTCAATTAAATGTACTAACTAAATACGGAATGACACCAGAAAATTCATGTTCCTCACCTTCGAGTGTGGCGAGTTTTGAACTACTCTTCGATAGATAAAAATTATGCTGCAAGAGTTTTAAGTCGCGGTTAACATCCAGTGTTTCATTTTCAACGACCCATTTATATTCAACGTCGTTATAGGGATAAGAATCTAAAAAAAGAACAGATATGCAATGCAAATATAAGATGAAATAGTAATAATGACATATCGTTAAGATTTCTTCAGTAATTTATAATATGAAATTATGTATATATTCCGTCTTTAAGTTTTAATGATGAGAACAAACCAGTGTACGCCCATTCAATACGCTGTTGTTTCTTGTTGTTTTTATTATCATTGATAAATACTCTGTACGTTCTGAATTCATTGTTTACGCGTGTCACACAATTTTCTTTTTCTCCTCATTCTATACGTTCTGTCCGCCCTTCAAATTAATTTTGATATAAAATATATTTTGCTCCACAATCAAATGTCGTATTTAGTATTTTAATTTTAAAACTTCGCTTTATGCGATAAAAAACAAATAAGGTCTGGAAAAGTGCGTTCATTTAAGATTCGTTATTTTGATACCTTGAACATTTTGGAATATGTAATATTTTCAGATTAGAGGATTACATATAATAAAAAAAATTCATCACAAAAGATTTATTGAAACGAAATAAATTCTTATCATAAAATATTTTTAGACCTGGTTCTCTCTTAATGACTAATAGAGTTTCATTCAAAAACTTGAAGTAGTTTTTTGGAAATTATACTACTTATTATGATAACTGCCTTATTAAATTAACAAGACTACAGACACTGTCTTAGTAACAGTTTTTCTCTGATTTAGTTTCCTACGACAAGAGTTGCCTAAGCAGTTATTATACTGTAAAGAACTACATGTATTTGTTTTAACTAATTTCTTTCACTAAAGCTATATGTTGTAATCAGGGTTTTGTAAAAGTCACAATACTTATCTTATGAATGCGCGGTTGCACTAAAAAGAGTACGTACAACTTCGTAAGATGAAAGGACACACTTGAATGTCTACTGGATAGTGTTTGAATTCCATCTGGCATCCAATAACAGCAGCCAACCTGCGAGAGTTTAAATAACTCGTATGCATCAGAAATATGCTTGTACTGTGTACTATATATATATATATATAATATGTATTTCCTTTAAATCTATTAGATATCGTATGTTTAAAACGAAACCTATAATGTTTACTATATTACGATGTATTGCTTTATAGTGATCCAGTATTGAAATTTTTATTGAATAATATACAGAAAATTCTCATATTTTCCATTCTAATAATATTTGCACAAAATTTTGTCTTGGTATATTAGCTATAATATTTGCTATTTTAAGGATTTTCTGTTTTTAATCAGACATTGGAGTGTTAATTAATTAAATGATTTAAAATTCATAATTATTGCAACGATTAAAGTAATCGTGTGAATCTTATCACTTGGTAACATCCTTGATTCCTTGTCTTTCTCACAACACCTTTGTTGCCTAGCTCTTTCTCAGTATGTTTCCAACCGAGGAAGTTCTATAGCCAAACAATAAGATTCGATCCCTGATTCTGCGGAAGTTAGCATCAACTAAAGAGGAGATACAATTACTTAAAATAATCTACCATGAGCTATGCTTTTATACTATTGTAACTTAAAGGTCAAGGTTCGAGCAAGAAATAATCTATCTATCCGGTATAAATTTGTTTAATTCAGATTGCTGAAACTAGATACAATTTAATGCAAGTTGTATGACACATAGAAATATATCGATTAGGCTTTGCTGATGTAGATCAAAAGTAAGGATACAACGAATGATAATCTAAACTTGATGAACATACCTTTTTCTTTAAACATTTTTTAACAACCTTCTCAATATTTCTAAAAGAATTAGGCAAGATTAGACTGTAAGTCTTAAAGTTGCACATGAATCAGTGGTGAATGTAAGTCAAAATTAATGAACATAATAATGAATTAATCCTTCCAAGGAAATAGTGAAAGAATAAATTCTACCAAATACACAGTAGAAGTATTCAATTTTGTGAACAGTTTGTAACACGCAGATTTAACCTTTTTCTTAATTTATTACAGAAAGGATGTCAGTTTGTACTCTGCTAAGCGGTTCTTAAAATCCATCATGTACAAGTTTCCTGGAAGTTGATATTGTGAATAAATATACAATGATCAATTTAAGTGAACTCACCTAATAATAATTCAATGTCCTCTGTTCAAGCGATAGATGTAGATTTGTCATGACTTTTATTTCATTTAAACAGGCCTTAGAAAGTATAATCAAATTGTTCTGAACACAACGGTAAAAATCGTTTTCATATTACTTATAAATCAATATACTGCAATTTCAAATTAGAATATGAATTGAATGTCGATTCAGATCTTTGCAGGTGAAAATAATGGAAGGATACACCTTTCAACCGATGATAATGTATTACCTGGATGTGAACATCAGATTCTTACTTATAATGTATCAAGATAATCTAAGAAGTAAGATCCTATTTGTCGTTAGTTAAGACTATCTTAGACTGTTATTTAAATCGTTATATAATTAAATCTCCATCTACTTGCAAACAAAGTACTAAAAGAAAACTAGAAACATTTCTTATACATCTCAAAATTAGAGAAATAATTTAGTATTTTTGCGACTTCTTTCTGGGAATATCAGATACCTTAGAAACACTCGTGGGTAAAAAAACAAATAAGCAAATGAGTTATTTTTTTCTGTCCGTTATGCTAAACTTATCACAATTGCTAGTTTATCACCGAATTCTCAAATATTCAAATAGATTTAACGTTCGAACACGAACAATAAGAAGAAATACGAGTCGGTTGTTGTGTAATATGAACTTGTTGTGTTGTGTACTTTTAAAAATAATTTGAATTAACCATTGAATTATTGGTTTTTATACAAAGTTAGACGTCAGTTTATGATTTTAGCCCTCGTATATTTGTAGCAATTAATTTTCATTAGTTATATTTTTCGCAGATACAAATAAGAGAATAATCAATCCTCACTAAATTATAACTCTTCACATTTGTTTGTGATTTTTTTCTAACTTATATGAATACAAGTATGTTTGCATAAACTATACAGTTGCAGAGCAAAGCTTTTAAATCTTACTAAATTTACTATAAGTTGCAAAGTTATTTCATCAAATACTTCATGTTTATAGATATATATATAATGTACATATCTATCTTCTGAACTTTATATATTACGATATTTAGTTTTTTAACTTAGATAAACCAAGACTAATTTGTCAGTTAGTGTACATTTCATTTTTTTAAATTCTATATTGCTCTATTTTTCTTTTAAATTTCACTTAATAATGGTTGAAATATTTAGATATGATACATTAACTTTTATTTAGTTTCCTGACTATTTTTCTTTTTTTTTAATTTTGCGCAAAATTTAGGGCTATCTGCGCTAGCCGTCCCTAATTTAGCAGTGTAAGACTAGAGGGAAGGCAGCTAGTCATCACCACCCACCGCCAACTCTTGGACTACTCTTTTACCAACGAATAGTGGGATTGACCGTCACATTATAACGCCCTCGCGGCTGAAAGGGCGAGCATGTTTGGTGTGACAGGGATTCGAGTCGAGTGCCTTAACCACCTGGCCATGCCGGGCCGTTAGGGGTACAGAGAACTAAACTAATTTAATACATTATAGTTTGTGATTTTATGTTATCTACGAAATATCAGGATTTTTTTTTTCTCGTAATTGCTTCGCATCTTGGTTCTCGTACCACATGTTTTTTATACTTACCACCTGTACAAAAGTAAACTGAGTAACTGTAATAAAAAATTCAGATCAAAGTAAAAAAATCAAATTAGTACTTCTGTGTTTAAATTATGATTTGGAACGAATTATGATTTATATATTATAAGCATAAGAATTCTTTGAATGTAACATTGTTTCTAGAATGAACTTCTTAACTTATAAATACTGAGTTAGCGCTTAAAACAAATATTGCTTATTAAAATTATTTTAGTTATTAGTAATGTTAAGTGTTTCATGCAAGCATGCTTATAATATTAAATTATTTTATGTATTATAATTAATAAGCAATGACTGGTTGAGATAACTCGGCAGTGTGGAAAAAAGTATAATGCATACCAGCTTCTTAAAACTTGGATGTCTGATCTAAAAGAAATGTTAGAAGAATCAGCTAATATCTACACTATTATCTCAGTTTTAACAGATTCAAAACTTATTTGAAAACTAAACGTTTGTTATTTGTATTTGTGACAAAGCTATTAAGGCTACTTGTGGTCAGCCCTAATTTGGAACTACTGACCAGAGGTAAAGCAGCGAGTTAGCAGAACACTTACCATTAATGTTAAGAAGTAGATATGTCGCTCATATAATTCACCCACAAATTAAAGAGCTAGAAATCTTGGGTGATATCGCATGGATTCGAAGTCAGTTCACCAGCTCCAAAATCCAAAGCTCTTCCACACGGCCAATCCGCGACCATTATTATTAGTGTCGTATATGCTTGTGTTTAAATGGCTATAACACTGATCAACAAATGTTTATTTTTATAACCTATACACTACAACAAATATACATACATCATGACACATCCCTAGTTATATACACATAACGAGATTCCAACTGTCCCTATCTACTATCTAGCGAAACCACAGCAAAGGTGCCCAACAGACTGGGTTTAAATTTAGTTAATAAATGCTTCTATATTTTAATTCATTTTTTCGTGTATCCATTCTATATAAATATATTTTGTGTACATGTGTATATATTTAAATGTAGTAAATCACGATGTAGTATGTGTGTGTTGTATGTATATAACTAGTGATGTGTAATGATGTATGTATATTTGGTAATTATTAGTATTTAGATTTGCATCTCTGTCTCAGAGGCTTAATGGAAGAAAGGATTTTTATTCTAACTTATTAACGTTTTTACATAATCTTCAACATTTTTCAATGGCTTGACTTGTACTAATTATTGCACGAAAGGTATTTATACTGTTAACGTTTTTCACGTTACGTTTGTACACCTATAAAAGTGAAATTATGTTATGAACTGCATAAAATTCGATTTTTTTCTCGAGAAAGTTTGATAAAGTTATAAATAGTTATCAACCAAAAATTATAGATTTCTAAAATTGATTTAGTAATGTAAATAAATTATTTAGGGAAAATATTAATTAAAAAATTACTTCACACTATATTCCAGTTGACATTCCCCAGTATCATTAATTTTGACCTTAAGAACTTCAGTTGATAAAGCTTTGGACGGCCTGTTCACTCTTTTAGCATTAACGACATACGTGTCTGGAATCCAGAAGAATTTCAAGTGATTCTTAGACACAATGGCATAGTCAAATTCGTGTTTTGTCACATTCAAAATTCCTAATCTTTTTAGATTGGATTTGTATATGCAACACATTGGTTTTGTCGCATTCCAGCCATGCCATATAAAGAAATCTAGTCTGAAGTCCTGAAATAAAAAATATAGAATTTTAACTGAAAAAATTCAACTATATCTATTCATTTAACTACAAATGCTTCAAAAATCATCTAAGTGAGTTTGAAATTAAAATTCATTATTATTTTAAACATACTAATATTACCAAGTATTATTCTATAAATATAGTTGCCGGGAACAACAAAAATCTTAGGAAGCTCACATATATAAAGATATTTCGTTAACATGTTAAAAGGTGATCTAATAATCATAGGAGTTAAATGACATAGTAAAACAGTTCATTATATTATTAATATATTCCGTTATTATACACCCAACACGAGCCTTACTTACATACTTATGTGTTTATTAATATTCTGATCAGATTTTAATAACGGTCCACATCGACTATCATAGATTTTCAAACCAAAGTTATGACTTGTAACGTTTAAGTATCCAGTTCCTTAGTTGATTTAGTACAACATTCTTTCAAATCTCATTTCTCCCCCCCCCCACCTTTGAAACAGCAGTTTTTACTGTTGATTTAATAACAAAATTAAAAAGAAGTAATTTTAAACTAGAATCACAACACAGGATTTGCAGGCAGCTAGTTTATTTGCATGAAACCATATTTCAAAATATTCAGAATAAATTATAATTGGTTCTGTTTTTAATATATCATGACAATAGAATTAATGTCATTCCTAAGTATTCACAAAAAGGTAATAGGCATCAATTTCTGGTTCGGTATAATAACTAGAAAATATAGAGTTTTCTAACTGAAAACAACACATGTTAATATCAATCAATGTTTGATACCACTTAAATGAAATTAACGCTGATCATAACAGCATTTGTAATGTTTCGAACACGTACCATATCCAGGGCGTTGATGGAGTTGATGTCTTCAACATACAACTGAGTCATGATACTGAGTGGGCCTATGTTAAACATAATTCCAAATTATCTATGGTTAATTAAGAACCAAACAAATGAGAAAAAAAAACAGCTTCATCGTTTACATTAAATGTATACAGAAAGTTGAATATGATGAGCCATGATATATTTGTTATTCACTTTAATTGCCTATATCCTTCCTCATGAAATTGTCTGTACAAAAAACAACATACATTTTCAATTCTATTTTATTCACTTCTGTGAACTATCATAGTTAACAAAGTATATTTTGTATATAACTTGAATGCAGGTGGTAAATCCTAAGTCCGTTAAGTGACCACATTTATAAACCACTAGTACGTGGACAAGTTATTTGAGATATAGGCTTATGTAAAGGAAATACATCCAACCAGTTCTTGATTTGAACATTCGTCAGTATATATCACTTTCCCACTGCTCCATTCCTCTCTCAAGAAGATTACATGTGTTCTCTACAAGTTCCGAATTATTTGGGTAGCTTATACTCAAAATTAACCATAGCTTAACAAGCTACAGACATTCATTCTTTCAAAAGTCACGTATGTTCCATTAAAAATATGTTAATTAGAATTAGGAAATATTACTTTTGAAACGTAACTTTAACATCCATGCTTGCTGCATCATAATATGTACTACTTTTTTAAGCTTTCACATCGAATTATTTTATTTATTTCCATTTCCACAGAGAACGGTTATTAAAAAAAGAAGTCCTGGAACATCAGTGTACTAAAAATATATATAGTTATATTACAGACATACAAGTTACTTAAACTACGATTTTTACCCTGCAGTTTTCAGTTTATACTTAGTAAACCCTTTTTGAATTAACAGAATATATCTGTTTGTTTGTTTGTAATTACGCACAAAGCTACACAACAGGCTAACTCTGCACTGCCCACAACGAGTATCGAAACCCGATTTTTAACGTTGTAAATCCGTAGACATACCACTGTGTCAACCGCGAGGAATCGAACCCAGAATTTAATGAAGTCCTGGACCATCAGTGCACTAAAAATATATATAGTTATATTACAGACATACAAGTTACTTAAACTACGATTTTTACCCCTGCAGTTTTCAGGTTATACTTAGTAAACCCTTTTTGAATTAATAGAATATATCTGTTTGTTTGTTTGTAATTACGCACAAAGCTACACAACAGGCACTGCCCACAACGAGTATCGAAACCCGATTTTTAACGTTGTAAATCTGTAGACATACCACTGTGTCAACCGCGAGGAATCGAACCCAGAATTTAATGAAGTCCTGGACCATCAGTGTACTAAAAATATATATATATAGTTATATTACAGACATACAAGTTACTTAAACTACGATTTTTACCCCTGCAGTTTTCAGGTTATACTTAGTAAACCCTTTTTGAATTAATAGAATATATCTGTTTGTTTGTTTGGCCATTAAATTTGTTTGTTTGTAATTACTCACAAAACTAC